CCAGATCCCAGCACCCTGGGATCATGACCTGAGATATTTATATATTTATTTATTTATTTATTTTATTATTTATTTATTAATTATCTTTTTGAGAGAGAGAAAGCACATGCGAGGCGGGGGGAGGCGAGGAAGGGGGGACGAGCAGAGGGAGAGGGAGAAGCAGACTCCCAACTGAGCAGGGAGCCTGGCAGGGCCAGATCCCAGCACCCTGGGATCATGACCTGAGATGAAGACAGACACTTAACTGACTGAGCCACCCAGGCACCGCCTCATATTTACTGCTACATTCAATCTGTTGTGTATGTTGTTTGGTTGAAAAATATGAAGAAAATCTAGCCTCACAGATACGTAGCTGGAAAAGGAAATACTTTAATAGTCTTTTCAAGTAACTGGGGATATTCTTTGATACTACCCAAAACTTGACGAGAGAGAGTTTCTTAAAGGCAAGTTGCAGCATTGAATCTGAAACCACATCAATAAACATTTTATACTCTGCTACATTTAAATCCATTGTTCTACCTTGCTCTTTGAGTGGATATTGACATATCTCATTATACAATATCAAAATATCACATTCATTAGCATCACTACCTATCTCGTCAGAGAAGTCTTAGATGGGAAACTGTCAAACTCACACTAGTAGTACAAGTTTTCCAAAATTTTAGTTTTCACTGGAAAGTTCCACTTCCTCACTACCAACAAAGCTAACAACTTTCCTTGTAATAGAGTCTTAGTCTGTTTTCAAGAATATATCAAATACCCAAGGAGGATTAACTACGGTTTGACAATCTTTCATTCAGGTAAAAATGGCATCCCACCAAAAAAAAAAAAAAAAACCTGTTAGCTCAACTCAAAACTCAATCCCACACTCTTCTTTAAGATAACCACTGTACTCCTATATGCAATGTAAGTGCTTTATGCATACTTCCCACTCATCATGCGTATTACAAAGATGTATAGACAAGAATCCAACTTAATAAAATTTTAAAAATTTTGCTGCTTCATTAAGGACGTTAAGTGAAATTGGCTTTTTTTTTTTTTTAAACTACTTGGTGCCACTGCCTTGATTTGCACTAAGACACCAGCAGTTTTCCCACCAACGCTATAGCACCAAAAATGCAAGCATCAATACAGTGAAAAGGACAATCCTACCTTAAAGTTGCTATAAAAATACTAACGCCACAGATCCCTAGATCCCTAGGGTGTGGACCCCATTTTGAGAACCGCTACTTTATTATTGTTTTTTTAGAGGAGGGGAGGGGCAGCGGGGGAGGGAGAGAGAATCTTAAGCAGGCTCCATGCCCAGCAAGGAGCCCAGCTCAGGACAGATCTCGACACGGTGAGATCGTGACCTGAGCCGAAATCAACAGTCTGACGCTTAACCAACTGAGCCACCGAGGCACCCTGAGAACCACCACTTAAAAAAAAAAAAAAAAAAAACAATTAGAATATGGGCACTTTTCTGCACACAATTTTATGTCCCCAAGTCCAAACTGTTGACTCCACCTGTGCGTCAGGAATTCCCATTCATCTTTCCAAGTCCTGCTATGTGTCACTTTCCTGTGCTCTTCTCCAACATTATCACCTCCACCACTACTACCCTACCTTAGATCAGCTCCTTCAACACTTCACCATCTTTATGATGATTCTCATATATATTCAACTGCAGCACACCCAAGGCCATTTTGCCCTCCACTCCAAGCCCCAGACTATAAATTACTTAATCACAGTAACTACTTCTTACCCATTTCCAGAATTCAGAACACCTTTGATTTTCTTCTTTCTTACAAAACACTAGGGGAAAAAAGCACCATATGGTCTCCCCACTGAAGAAATACACGGACTACAGACTGAAGGCTTTACTAAGCTCATTTTTCAAAATAACACTGAATGAATAAATACTATTACAGTAAGTCACCTCAAACTCCCCCCCCCGGAATGTTTTGTGATGTCCTTTAGATTTAAAAAAAATCGTTTCTCTTGATTAGTTTATTGGAAACGACGTCATATTTCTCTGAATGGAAACACCTTAATGGTATTTAACTCAAGGACATCCCAAAAAGCTAATGACTAGCTGAGTCGAACCTAATCAATTAACCTAACCCTCGCTGTCCAAAGAACTCTTTCTGATTTTAGGGAAGACAACTACAAGAAATTTAACCATATTCTCCCAGAGAACAGGTCTGGTCTGACAAGCTCTCCAGTCGAGTCAATTCTAAAACATTACTTTCTTTGAATCAACCTTTTTCAGAAATAACTTACAAACAATAAAACTCATGCATCTTAAAATACATGCATAAATATTGCTTCTTCCTACTCAAAACTCTCTTAGGTCTATTGCTTTGACGATGTGGACATTTCAAAAATCGAGCCATAGCGAAAAAATCTCTGGCCAACAGCGAATAGGTTGCCCGACCAAAAACGGTCAAGTATAAGCGACTTCCTGTGGTTCACCCTATAAAACTAATAAAGGCAATGCTATGAGGGCGGAGTGCCACAGAATGAGGCATGGGGACAAAACTGAGAAAAAGAAGTCTTACCGGTCATTCCAATCGTCCCCTCGACGCCTTTCATCTCTTTCCCGGGAACGGTCATAGTCGCTGCGCTCCCTTCTGAACTTGTCCCTGCGCCTTCGGTCATACTCGTCATCGCTGTCACCCATGGCGCGGTCTGAGGGAGCCTGGAGCCCAGACAGGGGTGGTCAGGGCGCAGAACAATGACGAGGAGAGGAAAGGCTCCAGAGCTGCTTCGGAGCAGCACGCCCGCCTCCCTCCGCAAAGGCCAGCCTTCCGCTGTCCCCGCCATCCTAAGCCCTCTCCCCGCGCAGGTGGCCGGCTCCGACACTCTACGGGCCCCCGCGGGTCTCCCTGCCCACGCCCACCGGCCGCCCGAACCCGCTCCCGCCCGCCGCGGCCCCGGCTCTCCAGGCCCCGCCCCTCCCCCACCTGGGAGCGGTCGCGGCCGTTAGCCTCGCGCTCCGGCGGGCTAGTTTTCCGGGAGACCTGGGCCCGCCTCTTGCTTCGGGCGCGCGACGAGGACGGCGCGGACGATGAGAGGGAGACTCAGGGCTCTCAGCGAGGGGGCCAAGGAAACGAAGAGAAAGTGGAACAGCCGGGGATGGGCGGTCGGCGCGCGCCGCTCGCGCTGCGCCTGCGTCACCGACGGAACGGGGCCCCGACCGCAAAGTACTCCCCCACGGCCTGAACTGGAACTTAAAAGCACAGAGCCAGAGGCTGGGAGCCCCCGGGGATGATGGGAAGGGGCGGGGACCCGGAAGTCTCGCGCGCTTTCCGGGACGAGAACTGAGCGGACGAGAGGAATTACGGGAGCCGAGGTGGACTAAGCCAGGCCACAGGAGGGCGGTAGGGCCTTCTGGGCTTGAAGGAGAGCTTCCTCTGGCTGAAGTCGAAGGTCGCGGTCCCTCGGATGTGTCCGGGGCCTGAACCAGTTCGTGTCCAGTTGTTGACCCCCACCACCCTGCTCGGGGAGCCTCCTGCCTCATCCAGGGCGGTTTTCCCCTGCTGGCGCAGGGCACGGAGTTGGGGAGTGCAGGCCTTTAGCAGGATAGAGCAACCATTTTAAAGCATCTCCCACCATTTTGTGCTGCACCAGAGAGGCTTTATTGCCGCCTCAGTATTTACCACCACCTGCAAACCCGTTACTGCTGTTCTTCAACAGAGGCGCCCCGTCTTGTAGGCGAAACCGGCGAATCTGTCTTATCCCCAACCAGTATTTGGTCTGGCTAAGTTACAGGTTGAGGTCTTGATCAACAGGCGGAGTCTGGCTTGTGCCGGATTAAATGCACCACCACCCCGGAGATAACACCCAAGTCCTTGTTCAGGGAGTGGGGTGTGAAGGCTTAATAGGAAACGCTGCCTCCTTGGAGCATGATGCAGCCTTACTCCAAGCACGGAGAGGAGGGGTGTCTTTACACTAAACTGCGTTTGCAGGAGTGTATCGTGGAGTTGCAAAAAACTAGGTCTCAGAAGACCCAGCCAGGTTCTGATCTTGGTACTGCCATTTGGGAAGCATGCAATCTGAGGAGATCACTTCTACGAAAACGCAGACGGGCGCAACAGTTGTGCTTGCGTGAGGCTGCTGTGAGAATCAGATGAGACAATACACTTGAAAGTGTTTTTGTAAACTCCTGAGGGGTTATTATTTCATGATTGGAGGAAGAGAAGACAGCATTTGGTGACAAAGTTGTAAAGGTGGCTGTCAGGGAGGGTAGCTGATGGGAAGGGGGAATGTAACAGGTGCTTCTGGGAAGACTCAGCAGTCGGTGGTGACGGTGGCTGAGAGCTCCTGGATGCGCCAGGCACTGCACGCCTTGCACAAGATGTGCCCATCCAACGGGTAGCAGCCCTGACACTCGCCCTCAGAGGACAGCAGCAGCCCACACTCCTGTTAAGACGAAAGCAACAGCTTTCTATCAGGCCCGGAGCCCTGGGTTCTACCATACCCAGCACCCCAGACCCCAAGAACCTCCCCTTCCCCTTGCCCAGGCCCCCTGACCTCGCACTTATAACAGCCAATGTGAAAACTGCGATCCAGAGCAACGATTCGTACAGTCTCCTCCTGACCTGGCTCAGGCATGATGGCCCCACCACACACTGAGCATCGTGGGGCAAACTTCCTGGGGGGGGGGGCGGGGGAGGGAACCAAGGAGGTTGTCAAACCCCTGAGTTGGAGGAGACTAACAATGGAGCCCAGAGAAGGTGGGATATTCGAGGGAACGGGAGAGGCCAGAGGTATGGTCTTGGATCTTAGAAGGGAGAGTGATGGGTAACAAAGAGACAAAGCCAGGGGTGGGAAACTGGAGAGGTTGGTACTGGGGCATGAAGGAGAAATGAGGAAAATGGGGAGGGTCAGACACCCTGAGACAAAGATGGGAGACTCGGCCCGACCTGTGGAAGTCCTCGATGCAGTGGATCTGGCTGGTGGCATCCACTGTGAAAGGGATACCATCGAGGCCACGGTGACACACCACACAGGTGAAGCAGCTAGGATGGTAGGCCTTCCCCATAGCCCGCAGGATCCGGTCCAGGATGGGTTGGGAGCACGTGGAGCACTTCTCCAGGGTGGCCTATTAGGAAGGAGGGTGGGAAGTTCGGGGCTGAGGCGGCCCAGGCCAGGCAGGCACCCTGCCGGCCCACCCGTCTGTTTTTGTAGCTCCCTGCAAGGGGTTCAGTGAAAAGTGGCCTTGAACAGATCTGAGTACGAGTCCCAGCACCGCAGCTTCCTAGGGAAGTGATTTAGTGTCTGAGCTTCGGTTTCCTTCAGTAGGAATAGCTGCTTCACAGGGGTGGCGGTGTGGGAATTTAACATATATCCCCTTAACTCTGAAATAAACATCTCACGTTTGTAAGGGACTATTGTCCTTTCCCTCCCGCAGCCGGTCATTTAGCTACTTTCCTCCCTTCTTTCCTATCAGTTTAGTCCCCCGGCTTTGAGCTCCGTTCCTCTCTTCGGCTTGAACATCTAGTCCCCACCTCAGCTGGAAGCCCCCTGCCTCCGGCTGCTGACTCCAGCTCCCACTCCCCCCAGCACGTCCGCTCACCACGTAACAGCTCTCACAGTACGCTCTCCTCTCCACGGCGTAGAAATGCTGGCCCCGAAGCTGGGCCCGGCACGTAGAGCACACAAAGCAGCCAACGTGAAAGACGCGGTCCAGGGCCACAACGCCAGCCCCGTCCCCAACCACGTCTTCTCCGCAGCCCCCACAGCACCCTGGGGACAGGGAGGGACAGGGTCAATCTGCGCAGAACAGGAAGGTGGATTTGCGGTCCCACTGACTCTCCAGTCCCCCGTCCCTGCCACCTCTTCCCACCTCAGGTCAGCTCACCGAAGTACTCCCCGGTGGGAGGGTGGTTCATGTCGTGCACCAGCTTCTTGGTCAGCCTCTCAAGCTCCTCCTCAGGAGGCTGGCTCAGGGGGACCTGTGAGGGGGGATTCAGGGGGTCGGTCCTACCTCTAGCTCCCTATGCTGTCAAACTTCCTGAAGGAGACCAGGCAGTTCCACTCGGAAAGTTCATTTGAGGAGGTCTCAGCCCAGGGCCCAGGGGCGCAACCCCAGGAGCCGACATACAGCTCCAGCACCTCCCTCTTGTATCTCCTGACACATCCCTAGGGGATCCAGAGCTCCAACATCCCAGGCCTCTGACAACCAGGACACTGAACACCACCCCTGCCCCACCAATCAGTGTCTGTGAGGACCCCCAAATCCCAGTACCCGGGCTTACCTGGGGCCCATACCCGCGTCCTCTTCCTCCTCCTGCAGCCTCCTCTTTACCCCCTGGCCCTGGCTCACGGTGGCTCCTATGGCCAGCCCCCCAGACGTCACCTCGGCCTGGCAGAGGGAAGTGGGCGCCCAGCAGGGCCCCGGAGGCCTGAGAGGCCCCCCGCCTGGGAGGGCCGCAGCCTCTCACTGGTTGTGCCACCTTCACTTGCACGGGGAAGGCAGGGCCAGCAGGGGTGCTGGCTGTAGCATAGGAGGCCGGAGTGGGGCCCCCATAGGGGGATGCTGAGAGCTGCTGGGGAGGAATAGGAACACCCCCTCCATTCGGCTTCAGGGAGCCTGAGCCCGTGCGGTAGGCATGGGGCTGAGGGGGCTCATAAGCCTGGGGAGAAACACAGACCAGGAGTGAGCAGGCCCATTCCAGGACACACACCTGGGGGAACCCCCCCGTGTGTGTGACCCCAAGGTAAGCGCTGGTCTTTGACAAGGGCTCACACTCAAGAGGCTGACAACCTAGTAAGCTCTGGTGGCCCAGCTTCTTCCATGCTCCTGTGTGTATCACTCACACTGGGGGTGGGGGTGGGGGGGCTAGTTTGAGAATCTAGAGAAGGGACCAGGCTGGAGAGTGGGGACGAGAGCAGGAGACAAGGAGCAGGAGCGGGACAGGGGGGGTCACCTGCCGGTCTGACCGCCGTGGGGCATGCCCACGACCTCCATCCAGCTCAGCCAGCATGCTGGTCAGCGAGTCTATCTCGGCATCCAGGCTCCCTGGACGCAAGGCCCCCCTATCTGGGGGGAGCCCCTGGGGATGAAGCAAAAACAGGGAGAATTCAAATCACTTGCCCCGGGTGCCCCCACCTCCCACCCCCCCAATTCCAGTTCTCACCTGTGAGCGCTGGGGTGCGCCATGGCACCCCACCCAGGCGAGCCCCCGATCATCCGGTCCCCCGGGGGCCTGGTAACACTGCTCAGATGGGAGGGGGCAAAAATTGACCCTGGGGTGGGGCTGAAGTGCTGAGGTGAGGGAAGAGAGAGCCAAGGTGGGGATGGGGAAGGAGAGGAGGGTGGCACGTGCGGAGGCTGACCTCTTGGGTCCCTCTTCTCCCCTCCCCCACGCACCTGGGGTCCGAGAACAGAGCAGGAGGGGCAGGAAGCCAGAAGGGCTTCAGGGAAGGGGTGGCAGGGACAGGCGGGAGGCAGGAGCCAGAAGGCAGAGGTGAGCGCGGAATGACCAGTGGCCTCCTTGGCGGCATTGGGGCTGCCTTACCTGCTCCATGGGCTGGCGGCGGCCCCAGGGTGCCTCGAGGGAGTGCTCTCCCCTGAGGGGCTCTTGCAGGCTCCAGCTGCCTTGGGGGGAGCCAGGTGGGCCCCGACATGGCCTGGAACAGGGGACTCCAGACAGCGGTCAGGCCCCGTGTAGCCCCAAGCCTGTAGTCTTGACCCCTTCTCCCGTCCCACACCTCGTTTGGAACTCCGGGAAAGAAACTTTTTCTGGCTTTTTTTTTTCCCCTTCCTCCCCAATTTTGGGGACAGCCACGCCCCCGGTGACGTCACCGCATTCCTGGGGGAGGGTCACGTGGGCCCCTAGGCCCTAAACTGCCGTCCCTCCCCCAGTCATCCCCCTCCTGCCGAGCAGGGAGGGCTTTCCACAGCCGCCTCCGTTTCTATCCGCCCCCCCAGACTGGCGCCCCAAGTCCTGCACATGGCCACCTCGCCGCTGGGACGCTCCAGCACCGCTCCTTCCCACACTCCCCCATACAAGATCTCTCCCTCTTCCTGCCCCACCTACCCCTCCCCCCCAGCAGTGCTCAGCCAGCCCGTAGTGTTTCGGTCTTTTATTCACGTTCAGCGGTTAGAAAAATAAAACAACAAAAACAGCACAACCTCAGGGGTCTGCGAATCTGTTGGGCGAGGGGAGACTGAGGTAGCTGACAGTCAAAGCAGAGACCCAGCCTCCATCAAGGCACCGGTGAAGGGAGGGAGGCCAGTGGGGAGGGCTGCTGGCTTCCTCCCCCAGCGTGGTGGGGACGGGACCGCTGCCCTGCGTGAGTGCCCTGAAGCCCCTCTCCCAGGGACAGATGGATGCCCAGCCCAGGATCCTCTAGTCCTTCCGCCGGGCTCCACACCCCACATGCGGCGCAGGCGGGAGGCTGCCCTTCCCTTCCACATCCACTAATCAAGGTGGGTCCCTAGACCCGAGCACCCTCTCCTTCAGGCCCCGGGCATCAGAGATCAGTGCAAGTGACGGGGGTGACGCCATGAATGAGCAGCGTGGGGCCCAGATCACGGGTCAGAGTCTCCAGCAGCGCCAGGTAGCGAGTGTAGCGGGCAGCATCGGCCGGCGGCCGAGGCAGGTACAGGAAAGTGAGGGCCGTGGCAGGCCCACCCTCGCCATCCCCACCCTCAGGCCCCCCGGGCCCTTCTCCTCGGCTGCGCCCCTGCTGGGCCCGAACCAGGGCGTTGGCACTGCTCGCCAGGGCCTCTGCCTCGGCATCTCCCCGCCTGCCATTCACAAAGTCCCCTTCCTCCTCCTCCTCCTCCTCGGGCTCCCCAGACCCAGCCCCCTCGCCCCACACCACCTCCTGCACTTCGGCCCTGATCCTCAGCTGGCTCAGCAATGCCCGGAGCCGCCCCTCAGCCGCCCCGGGGGCCTCTCGAGGCCCCAGGCACAAGAAGATCCGGAGCCGGGCGCTATGCCAAGCGGGCACCATGCCCAAGATGGTTGCCATCTGCAGCAGGAAAAGGCCACACACGTCCACGTAGCCAGGCCCACCCCGGGGCCGCAGCAGGTTGAGGGGCCACACGTCCACGTGATGTGGCGGAGAGGTGGCCCCCGACCCCCGGCTCAGCCGCTCAGGGGGCAACGCCCCACAGGCCCGGGCGAGGACCACATTCTTGTTCATCTTGAGGGCATCTGCCACTGTGGCCACATAGTCCTGGGGACTCAGAGCCCGGGGGCTCCCAGGAGCCCGGGGTGGAGGAAACAGGGAGCTCAGGGCTGGGGACCCACCCTCCTGGATGCCATCAGCAGCCTCGGAGAAAGCCGGGTCTGTCAGGAAGTGGTCCTGGGGTGCAGAATCGTCGTAGAAACCCAGGACCAACGTGTTGGGCTTCATGCCACCTGGGGGCAGAGAGGGGGAGGTGGGAAGGAACCGACAGGAATCAGACTTGCAGGCCAAGTGTACCCCACGCTAATATGCACCCACTCGGACACGCTGACAGCGACACACGTCAGCCATCAGGTATGGCCTTCGCACCATGCTTGGGCTCTCCCAGCAACGTTTCGCACGTTTGCATAATGACTTTTAGTTTTCCCAAATGCTTTTGCATGCATTTATTTGTTGCATCTGCATGACTAATCTCCCCCACTTAAATACAAGGCGAAAGTTCGCCTCAGGAGCAATTCTTCTTAACTAACGAGCACTTCCGGTCCACGGCAGTAGGATGCCTCTGCTCCAAGCTCCTAGCTGCACACCTTTTTCGTGATGGAGATGAGGGTCTGACTCCACTGGCAGACCAGACCCCCTGAGTAGACAACAGTCAAGCTCATGGCCTCAATCCCCAGGGAAAGAGCACTCCAGCCTCTGCTGAGGGAGGATGAGAACTGGCCTGATCTGTTCCTACCACTGCAGGGCCTCCAAAGCCTGGTCCCCGGGGAAGAAACAGCTACCATCTGCACATACTAACCAAGGGCGAGGTCCTATTGAAAACACTTTGTGTTTTAACTCATCTGATTCTTGGAGCAACACTATGAGGTAGGGACTCTTTACTCATCCCTTTCACAGATAAGCAACCTGAGGCACAGAGCAGTGAAGTCACTTGCCCCAAGGCTCACGGTCAGAAGATACTGGGGTCCGCAGGTAAACACAAGGTACCCAGCACCAGAGCCTATTCTCTGAGCCTCTGACCCCTATGTGTGCGCGCGTGTGTGTAGCAAACACAATGCCCCAGGTCCCTGCTGACAGTTCCTGGTTTTTAAATTTTTGAACAACCAATGTGAAATTGGATAGCCCCCACCGCCAACGCGCACTTTAACAGGGCTGAATTTACAGAAAGACTCTGAGATCGTGTCTAAGGCTTATTTCTCCTGAAACAGACGGGTTGCTCAAAATCCACCAGTAAATCAAGTTCTACACTCCAGGAGGACTTACTATTTAGAGGAAATCCTTTCCCTTCATTTGAATCATTTTTCCCAGGACAAATGTGGCAGAAAATAGTGGTCTCCCGGCACAGTTTCCCCCACAGAGGGTGGGGCTGAGGAGACACCAGGCTCTCCAACAACGCTGGACAACAGCCCAAAACACCTGTGCGGCTGTGAACTCCAGCCGATCTTGCAAATGAAACTAGTCACCCCTTCCTGAGCATCGTCCAGAGTTCTGATTTACACCGAACAGGATATTGTCCAACACTTGAACCTTAGCCAGAGCTAAGTGGAGAAGGGAGTATGCACTCAGGGAGGGGGCTGACACCCGCCTGGGATTGAGAAAGAAGGTGGCAGCTCAGGATGGGTTTGCAGGAAGCTGGGGTACAAGGCTGGAGGCCGCGGCACTAAGGCAGGGTAACAAAGCAGGGAATCAAACACTCGCTCAGAAAGCATCAGCCCCACACACCCTCTGCATCCTCTGCGGTCTCTGGAGGCCAATGTCACACCACCCCTTCCTTCTCTGCCCCTTCCAAGCCCCAGCTGAGATACCATCTTGTCACGGGCCACATCAGTGCATAGTGGTCTTGAAGTTGGGTGGCTGGAAACCATCTGCCCTAGATTTGATGGAGCAGCCCCCCAGCCTCAAATAATTCTCCCATTGTCCCCAGACACACAACATGGTCTTCAGAACCTGTGCCCTAATTTTGGGGTCAGGAAAAAAAAAACAGCGTCAGTGGCACCCATCTCCAGTCCTTAAACATCTCCTCAGGACTTTCACACCATCTGTTATCTTTGAACCTGAGCGCTGCATCTTATCTGAACTGGACCCTGAGTTCCTTTCGGAGTTTGCAGTTTGTGGTTTACTCGCTGGGGGACAGTAGCAGAGATTGAAAGGGGCCACAGAGGGGGCTGAGGGGACCCAGGGAGGAGTAGCTCACCAAGGCCAGAGATCCGCAGCAGATGCTGAGCCCCCTGGCGCACAGAGGGCGAGAGGGTAAGGTCCACAAAGGCCTTCACTTGGGCTCTGTCCACCAGGCTCAGCCATGCCCCATACTGGGGCTGCACAGGGTCAGAGGGCAGGCAGTCTGCAGAGACGGGAGGCAGCAGATGTGGGCCAAACCCATGTACTTTTCTCCTAGAATCCAAATCCCCAGTGGGCCAAAGAAAAAGGTCTGGGCAGGGTTCTGGCTGGTTGGAAGTGTCATCGGGGAAGATGCATGAGGCCTCTGGACCCAAAGAACACACAGAGCATCTGAGGCGAGAGGGAGAAGGAAGCTGGGGAGGGAACG